CGCCGCGTCCCTGACGGGTTTATGGCCCGGGCGGCGGCGCCCGAGGGTGTGATAATGGGCGGGGATCGGCCCGAGCTGAGCTGAAAACCCCGCTAAAACGCCCGACAAGACAGGACCTGCTGTTTGTTCAGCATCGTTCCGACTGGGGATGTGACCTTGCTCAAGGTTCTTATCAGGGGATTCGCGAGCTTGCGCTTGATGAGAAAAATTAAGATGAATTGTGTCTGGGCTGGTGCCCGGGTATCGGTCATATCACGGGTAGAGTGCTGGTGTAAGCCATGGGTGGGAGTGCCCACGCTGCTGAGGATCAGGTGTAACCTAAGAAGCCAGGAATTCTCCGTATGCGAGCGCACAGGGGAGTGCCCGCCGACTGAGAGATCAACGCATTCCTATCGGTGGGTACATGACCTCCCGAAAGGCATTTTGTAAAACAAAGGGCCTATGAGCTGTGCAAAAGGTAAATTCACAAAATCGCGTCGTTCCCCTCCCCCTTTCCCGCCTCTCCTCTCTCTCCGCCAAATGGCTTTGGAAGGTTACGTTTCTAGGCGGCGATTGTCAAGGCACTCGGCCTCAAAGTCTTTGTGCGTCAGCTGGGTGGGCAATGCGTCGATTGTATAACAATGGCATGCTATTTGGTCTTGATTCGAACCAAGACCAGCAGGTTTTCGCCGTAGGTAGCTATTTTTTGACCGGTGTGTAAATGTCAGATGTCGGTATGCAGTATCCAAATGCCATGCATTGTACGTAACAGTCAAATTTGGATTTGTGTCGTGTTCAACCTCGGTCTTCAAAGAAATGTTCTGTATTTATATGGGATTTTGAACTGAAATGGCTATCTTGAAGACCTTTTGGTACTGTTCACAATCCTGCCCTTCTCAAGACCTAAGCCCCATAGTTGTTTAGCTAAACGACCGTGAAAATGGGGAAAGGTATATCGGGGAGGGTATTTCAGTCACCTTAGCATTCATAACATCATAATAACGTCATTTAAATCCTACTATTCCATGGCCATGCGGCGGCCAGGCCAGAAAATACAATTGTCGAGATGTTCATGTCTGGCGTTCATGGGCACGATTTCCAGACACAACGGCCTAAGTGGCTTTCAGTTAATGATGTGCAAGTTATGATAGCCTAATCAAACCATGGTGCATTGAAAAACATATTTACTGATCAGAGAATTGTTCTGTCTGGAGGAGTCTTTTCCACACAAAAGTACACCAATAACTTTAAGCAAGTTTGTTTCATCATGCCCGATGCTCAAATGTGAAATATTAATATACTCAAATGTGAAACATTCCCCTCAAATGTGTTAATCACAGTACAGTAGCCAATTTCGTGATCCAAACTTACTGAATTTGTCGTCAGACTTCTGGATATCTCACGATTAGAAAAGAAATCGTGTGGCGTAATGAGTATATTCATGCATCTAATTCATCCTTGTTGGTAATATCTGAACTTCAACGACGTATTTCTAAACATTTACACCAATTGCGATTATCCTCCGTATATATTTGCGATATATATATTTCCGATTATCCAAGTGCGATTATCCTCCGTAACGGTCAACAGTCCACGAACACCAAGTGTAATATTGCAAACCAGAGATGACCTCGTATAAATTTGCTTGCGCACCGATTTGCTCGCAGCGTATTCCCGCCAACCAATGTCACATGTGATTGAAACAAAGCTTGATTATGATATTCGTTGTGGTCCGTCTTGTTTGCTATGCTCATTGGCGGTATCGTGATGCTCATATTCGTGTTGTGAAGCACACGCTTTTTAAGTCGGTTTTTGAACATATGAAGAGCATATCATCTCGCATATACGTTAGACGTGCAACGAGGTAAATCAGCATCACTTCTACCACCTTTACAGCTGTCGAGAATGGCGCCTTCTTCGGGTTTTTGGCCTTTTCCACAAGCATGGACATAGTTATTCTCTTACCAAAATCTCCAAGATTTCTTTGTGTTACGTGACATTGAAAAGGTGAGCCCAAATATATCTGGGGTTCTGTAGCTGTCGAACCAGTCCTGCACATGTTATCACAGGCCATTACATTTGCTTCACTACATCCACTAGCATGGTATCAACCTATTTTCTAACATCATTCTTCAGCAGCAGCATCCGTTCAGCAGACGCTGGAGTTGTCAGGAGTCGCCAGTCTGTCTCCAATGCCAATCTTTCAACCACCAACCAGGCGGGACGTTTGTGTCTGTCTGCAGACTTCGATTCTGGGCTGGCCACGATGTCGCACGATGCTTTTAACGTTTATAAATAGCTCTCAAGCTTATGATGGACACAGCTTAATGTTTTATCTCAATCCAGCCTACCATTGTGGTTTTCTTCAATATGGGATGCGGGAAGGTGCGAACCTCGAGATCTGGATCCACTCCCGGGATCCCGCTGTCGCGATCGTGAGATTGACATCCCTAGTCCTCATATCCATGCAAATAATGCTTCACACTTGGTCAGTACCAGTGGTATGGTAGACGATTGCGTCATCTCTGCGACCTTCGTAACAGCAACAGTGCGAGTTATTGAAGCGCGGACATGTAATGGTGCATACGTGCACGGTTGCGTCATTGCAAACGGGCAGACCCGTTCCAAGTTATGCTCGTGTTACTGGTGTTGTAACTTCGTAGACTGGCCGAATCCGATCCGGCCAGCTTTAATCCATGACGTCCCAGCATACAAATGCAATCATCAACCTGTTGTCTGGCTGGCGCTTAACTGCACCATGCAAATCTAGCTTCGGAATGTTTTATGCATTGTTTGGCTTGGAACCGGATCCACCCTACGCGGCAGTTTTGTTTTTGATCCAATAATCTGCATCAGAAACAACCGCCGCGACGGGCATCAGGCTGCGTCGTTTTCTGCCAACGACAGGCGATGGTTACAACAGCACCTTTGTTACATTCCTCGTGTACATCAATTACTTCGTGAGATCAGAGTTGAGGGAAAGATCAATGGGATGCTTCCTCCGAACATCTTCCGGTTTAGCACACAAACACCATACACGGATCAAGCAACAGATAAGCAGCAGAGCGACGGATCTAAGTGGAGGGCCGTGTCCCCTCCCATAACGGCGTAAGCAGCACAACATTTATGTCCCGGAGCCTGATTTCGGGCACTTCATACCCTAACGTTTCCCCTGAAACGGCATGATAAACAATCACCAAGAAGCTCTGGTCCCTATTTCATCCACTCGTGGCACTGAGCGGAGCCAAGTCGAATGACGCATACAGCGCGCGATATCGGTGACCTTCGTTCCGCGACCAGAGGACCCGAGCGGACCATACCCACCGTCTCGAGACGACACACTCCCACCCCAGCTTTTATTCATCATGGTTACTTACCCAAACAATCAAAGATTTCAGCTTAAGTTTCTACGCCGGCCTTGCCCTTCTCTCCCCTCGTAACACATCACAGCAGCGTATGAGCGTGCATCTTTTGTAGACCTACGTCTGACTGGCGCGCGCTGAGCACGGGTGCGTCACCCAGCGCGCGGGTTTACACGTCGGCCGGACGTGTCGGCACGTGGCGACATGGGCGGCTGCGGCACCAGGTCCCGGCGCGTCCCGACAGAGCGCCGGCGGCGCTGTGCGACCGGCCGCGCCGGCGGCTCATTCCGTTATGACACACGGCCGGCCCGCGCGGCAGCCCATTTCCCGGCTAATTCCCGGAGTGCGATACTGGCGCGGGATTACATGGCCGGCTGCGATTTTTGTGTCGCGGCGTCGCCAGTCGGTCATTACGGCACGGCAGGGCGAGGTGGCACGCGTCCGCAGCCCCCCCCCCCCTCCCTCTACTGCAGGCCGCGGTTCCGACTAACACCGCCCTGTCCGCCTTTCAGGCGCGACACCGCCGCCGACGGTAGCGGCTGGACGACGGCGGCGACGGCGGCCTGTCTGGAGGGTGCGACAGTGACGACGGCACGCGCGAGGGCGACGGTGACGAGCGGAAGCAGCGCGGCCCAGTAGCTTGGATTGGTGCGGTGGCGGCTGGCGACATCGGTGTGAAGTCCCGGCGCTGAAGGGGCGGCGCGTCAGTGACTGGTAACACCAGGGAAGTCACTGCCCTGGACGAGGAGAGACCGGCCACGCCCGAGACGAGCCCCGGACAGCAGGGCCGGAGCCTGCTGACGGAGCAGCGCCGAGTGGTGTGTTGTTGGCCGGGCGTCGCCATGCAGCGGGCGGGCGGACCCGAGTGGCGATGCGGGCCGTGCCGTCTCCGTGAGCTCCGGAGCCCCGTCAGCGGACCCTGATCGCGCTGCGCGCACGGCGGTCCGCCCGCGCGCAGGCGCCGGGTGGCGTGTCTAGTGCGAGGGACGGCCGGGGGCTCAGGAGTGCCAGAGTGGAGCCGGCAGGCCTCTCGAGGCTGACCGAGCCTGTCCAGAGGCGGCGCCAGGTCTGGTTTGAATAGACGCCCGGTCGGAGCTGGAGGTAGACACTGCTAGCGGGACACAGAGCACCTGTGAGGGCGCTGCCTCAGTCTGCGGAGCCGCTGGAGGCCTCATCTGGGGCCCGCAGAGCCAGTGGAGGCTCCGTCTGAGGGCCGCAGAGCCGGTATAGACACCGTTCGGGGAGCCACAGAGTCGGTGGAGAACCCATGTGAGAGTCGCAGAGCTAGTGAGACTCCGTCCGAGACTCGCAGGGCCAGTGGAGACTCTGTTCCGTGACAGCTGCCGGAGTCGAGAGTCAGAAATCCTCAGGAGTCAACCGAAGACTTCGCCTGGTCCGTGTCGCACGTCCTGCTCTAGGTCGACGCCTCCGGGTCATCACGCATGCTTTTGACCCTGGCCTCCATTCTGCTGAGCAGCATCATGTCCAGCTACGCTGACCTCGACAGCACGAGTAAGTAGCCCCCCCGTCCGATCTATACGTGTCGGCATTTTCGTTCCTCATCACACCAACGCTCGCTTTTAGGCGCCGTTTCATATTTGGGAGCAGCACATCTGATCGTTCTGCTCGTCATGGGGCACCGTGTATGATAACGCCCAGCTGTATGCTTAAGGTGCAGGAGGAAAATTCCAAACGCTCCCACCTGGCCGCAGTGCGTGTCAGCTGGAATGTAGCATCCGCATACGTTGGCCGCCCGATCGCAGCATCAGCACGTGGCTGACTGGGGCCGGTTGTCTGCGTTTGAGCCACCGGTCGTAATTCGTTCCATGCCGCAGCCTGTTTAATCTGGCTTCCAGTCAAGCGATCCCGTCTCATGGACTATTTACATGGACGATCTGCGTGGAACTGATCACCGCTCGCCGCGAGAGCAGATTACGTATGCCGGAGACGCGACTCCGGCTTAGCGCCGGCCCCAGACAGCGTGCGAGGATGGGATCCGGGCCTGAAAGGCTTTCCAGGAAGCGGGGCGAGGCGCGCAGCGCCCTGCCACGGTCCTGTGTCAGACAAGCAGATAACAGATATGTGCTAGCGGCTTGAGGACGTCCCGAGTAGTGCTTCAGGCTCTTGACCGGGCCGTAATTCATTGCAACACGCCCGCTGCCGCAGCCAGCATGTCGGGGGGGGGGGGGGGAGCAGCTGTGCATGGTGCACCTGCGGGTGGATCAGCTCGGCTCTCTGGACCGATGTTGTCCGGGTTCAGCAGGCAGGCAGATGGCCAGGATGATCCGACCTGGATCCCGATCCGGCCAAGAGGTTCAGGTTCAGATTCAATTTATAACCGGCACTTCTCGAATTTAGTGGTTTGCAGTAGATGGGCAATAATCCCACACAGGTCGAAGGTAAAACGTGGGACATTTCAGATGCACACATTCATTACTGGATAATTTCACAGGTCCACGCATTCATTACCGGCGCGTTTCACAAACGCGCGCATTCATTACTTCCATCAGAGCATGTTGACTAAGCCACGTTTGAAAGCAACTCATCTGACACACCGTTTGTCTGGTGGGACTGCGCAACAACCGTCTCCTCCATTGCGTAACCTGCGCTTTCTGTGACTCGGAAGTTTCGGCAGCCGGGTCTGCTCTCTCGCTGCGACTGTGTTCTTTGAGATCGTGTGGGGACCCCGCGACATACCGTTGTGCTGTATCTTGGATCAGCTTTGTTGGGCAGAGTTCGCAGTGTCCGACCAACCCATCTGCGCTCGAAATGTCTGCCGTTTTCTAGCTACGAAGTATGAGCATCAATATGCTTCCCCGTGAACACCTTTGTGCGGTAACTGACAAGTGTTTGGACACGGCTGGGCTGCGCGCTGTCACGCGTTTCTCAATCGTGCACACATAACTGGAGTCGTCTATCGCCCTGCGTAGAGTTCTCTTCGGAATCGGGTAGCTAGGACGGGTCAAGGCCACCATAATGCCTGCTTATTTCGCTGCGACCTCCGTCATGCGCGGTACTATGTAAGGCGCTTGTCAACAGCACTTGTTTTCTGCCAAGTTCTGCAGTGGGTTTCTGCCGTGTGTCCTATTTTGTCGTAGGTTTTGGGCACACGTCACGACCGTTTGTTGTGTTCCTGGAACAAGAACCTGAGACTTCGCACCACTTTTCTGAACTTAATTTCGACAAACCAGTCCACCAGGTGAGACGGTTCTGTTTCCAGACGTCCGATCATATCAGACCACTGATCCTTTCGGGCCTTGCGGTGCTAGCGCGAACGGCTAGACAGCCGCGCTGTCTCGTTTTGAGGTTCGGCGGGCGCGGACTGCGGTGCTAGTGTGAGCGACCAGACAGTCTCAGCGCGCCGAGCGAGACGCTCCGTTCCGCCGGCTGACACCAGACGGCGCTCGTGCGAGACCTGCGCCACGGACTTCAGATGCGACCGCTCGTCTGCATGTGAACCGTGCGAATCGGCCCCGGTCCGTGGGCGGGCGCGAGCCGCGAAGAGTCTGTTTGCACGGGCGCGGCCTATGGTAAGAGGAGCATTCCACATTTCTACGGGGGTGTTGAACTTAAATACCCATCTTGAGGATCATTAAATGCGGTTCACAGCCCTGCACTACTGAAGACCTAAGCCCCTCTGGTTTCTGAGCTAAACACCCGGGAAGATGGGGAGACTTTTTCCGGAAGAGTATTTCAAGGTCACCTTAGCATTCAAGAGACGTCATAATAGCGTCTTTCAAATCATGTCACTCCATAAACCATGCGACGATTAAGGCAAACAATATAATTGTCAAGGCGTTTATATATGGCGTTCGTGAGCACACTTTACATATATAATGGTTGTCAGTTGGTTCTTGATCAATGGTGTGCAAGGTAAAATGACGCATTCAAACAATGGCGTATCGAGGAGCATATTTACTAAACAAGAAAACTGTGTTGTCTAGAGCAGGCTTTTCCACTTAAAAGTATGTCAATCATTAGAAGTGAGCCCATTTCATCATATCTGGCGCTTGCTTTAATATTCTCAAGTGTGAGATATTTTCCCTTTGGTCGGCTGATGTGACGTCACCATACGGACAAGTATATCAAGAGTCTGGGTGACATAGGCCGTGCTCCCAGAAAAGGCGTCATATGGTCAGAAGACCTCAGAATCAAAATTAACTAATTAAGGACGGATAAGGTCGGTGTCAAAGAACCGAAGAGCGATAATTACGGGCTGAACGTCAGTAGTGGACGTTGGAAGCCAAGGGCGTAGGCAGAATTTCGCCGGGTGGGGGAAAAACTCGACTAAAAACCCATTTTAGCACGTGGCCGTGCGAATTTCTGATATGGCGTGTAGCGACGTCGCGTGTTTTTAATCTGTTCATTTTACGCGTTCACCTTGATCTTTCAGTTGTCAATTTACTCACTTGGATGCCGTGCATTTCCTTTCTTTCAATTGTCAATTTATTCACTTGGATGCCTTGCATTTCCTTTCACTGAAATAAATGTACTCAAATTTTAAACCTTAGTGCATGCATGCATTTGACGGGGGTGGGGGCACGTGTCTCCGGTGTTCCTTGAATACGCCAATGGGAGCGACATTCAAGGTTGTGGTGAAACAGTAATGCCGCGCGCCATATGGACCCCGTTTAATTGTGGTGTTTTATTATCACAGCTGGTGCTTGGCTCTGTATTGCTATTGGATTAACGGGGAAATCTCTCGTGCGCAGCTGATTCAATTAGCAAAATTGATTCCGCCGTTAATTCCGTTGTTCTATCTTTATAACCGAGTGCTCTTAATCGGTTTTGGCTCGCTTTTATATGAAACTGCCAGCACAAATGGCCCTGAGTTGATTGCACTAGTAGCGGAGGGCTCACAAAAACGCACCGACGCTCGTTTCGTGAACGATCAGACCGGACTTGTTTGTTGTGCGGCTCTGCAAACGCCGCAGCTGGCGGTACCGAGCCGTGTTTTCGGCGGTTGAACCTAATTTCACCGGCGCGCCTCGACTATGTGACCGTGCATCACGCCACGTGACCGGTGAACAGTACAGAGCGCGCCGTCCAGGCCCTTTGGGGTGTGTCGCGCAGGGTGAGGCGGCCTGTCCGCTGCCCGTGAGGCGGCTCTGTCTGATGTGCCCCGGCGGGCGCCTCTGGCGCGGCTGACCTCCGGCGGGGGCATACTGCCAGGTCATGGAATACGTGCCTTCGCGGGTTGCTGCTGCGGTCATTGCTGTGGGAGCTTTCACACTGATGCATCGATGTGTATCGGTGGAAAGGCATTGTGATGGTGGCAGAAGAGGAAGCAGTAACGCGGAGAGCTGCGGGAAATCCAGCACATTTGGCGAGGGATTTTCCACACAACTTCCGAATCGGATGCATTAGACCTGGAGCGACATGTCAATGTCTGATTTATATCTTCGTTCAATTTGGCCCACTACCGGGCATGGCTGACCAAGGCCCAATTGCCCTGGGTCAAAGTGGCTGCCTTTGCCATAAAAGCCCGGGCGATAAAACGGACGGGTCATCACGGAGTAGATTTGTTCATTGAGCACCAGGATTGGTCGAGCGCTGCTGGTAAGCGCGCTCATTCAAACGCTCGCTGGACGCTGTAGCTTTTGGTGCTCGCATTGCCAGATGTCGGAATAGCGATCGGCTTAAATGCTACAACGCATTCTTAGGTCTCTATAAACGCACATGCTGCTGTACTGGATTTCAGGTTTTCGGTGGTTTCGGCGGCACCATTTCGTTGGTGACGCGTCCTTTCGACGATGTTGCCTTGTAACGTAATGAATGATGCTCATTTACCACAGTCTAAAGGCCTTGGTTCCGTCATTGGTGACAGAAAGTACGCAGGATGCAGGACGGTCACTCCGTAGACCAGGCAAGGTACGCAGGTTTCTGACCCGGCAACCCGTCGCATCTGACCCGGCAATAACCCGTGGTCTCGGGCTATGCAGTCCCCATTCATCCCTGCATACCCATGCCTCTTCTTCCACGAAAACCAATGTTCATCCCTATAAACCCATACCTCTTCTTCCATGAAAACCAATAGTCGATGCAGATAACTTAGGAAAACCTAGGCTTTTGTTTACTAAGCTGAGGATGAGAAATGGCGTTTTGGATGCAGTTGGAGATCTGGTCGAGGCCACTTTCCTCCTACACGTCACTTTTAAGTTGAAACTGACGCTGTGATGTGTCGTATCAATTGCGTGGTTCAGAGGTTCTTGCGAATGCTGTATTGGCTCCATCACTGGTGGTAGGCATATCATTTTATAGAATAGATGACACTGGTGTCACTGAAATGTGATATGCCACTGGCATTTGATACATTGGTCTAAAACAGAGGAAACAGATTCCACAATAATGAATGCATTTAATTCAACCCCTACGGCTTAAGGCAGAGATAGCATGGCAGCACGGCGTACTTTTGCACGCTAAATCCCAGCTGGCTGAGCGAGGTGGGCGGCAGGCTGGCATTTTGAATGAAGTTGCCTCTCTAGTTCAGACCCCTCTTAGGCAGGATCATC